ATTTACTGGGCTTCGACATTTTTGAAGCAGGGATTTTTATGATTGTACTCAATAATTATTGAGTACAAAGTTCATCAAATACTGTACATAGAAGCAAGCTAGTGAAGGTACACTTAATTAATTTATGACCTTTATGTTGTATCTTCAATGAATTCCATGATTATCTGGTGTGCACTTAAGACAGGCAAGACACACAATTATTGGGTGTATCATATATACTAAATTAATTAAACTCTTTCCGCCCCATTAATAATAAGTTTAAAAGTATAATGCCTTAAGTTTTGACGTCATAGTACGAGGCCCTAAGGTGTGGTTGGCAAACATATGGCACGTGTTTCCTCAGTATCCTTATAAGATTTAATAATAAAAATGTTCGTCCTTATAGGAATGGATCCAGATTTAGGAGTTAATTTATCGAAATTTAAAGAAATTTTTAATGTGAAAATAATTCTATTAGCTGATTAATTTGTAATAAAAGTTTTTGGGGCCTCGTAAATGTGAGGCCCGAGCCAAAACCCTCACCAACTCTCCTGTGACACAATATTTTATATGCTAAGAATTAAGGCGACTTGAAATTCATGAAATTTGTAATTTTATATTTATTATATTATAAATTACAATAAAAACGAGTCATATGTCAGTTATTTTTATAATAGTTTTCAATTTATTACTTTATTTTTTGAAGATTTGTCTTTCCTTTTATCCTTAAAAATAGTAGAAAGAGGAAATTTTTTCCCTATTTTTAAAGCAAACATTTCCGTGCAAAAGAAAACTCAAGGAATAAAAGAAAATAATTATAGTTACAGTTGCCAATTATTATTAGCCTATTCAACGACAATTTTAAGCGTAGGCAACATAGGCTTTCGTCTAAGGCTCACTAAAAAAGCCTCAACCGCATATAAATATATTATTATTGCTACTCAATCTTGATAGTATTCTCGATCTTTTTATAATATAAAGTCTCGTGTGATACGTGCTTTAAAGGCCTTATTAACGTGCTCGATAATACACAAGGTTTGAGATTCCTATCTGGTAATAGGTACTGTACGTAGGCCCATGGACAGATTTAGACACTGACCATAACATATAAGAGGCCCTTTACCCTCAACAAATAGTAACTATTTTTAAAAAGTGGGCCTTAAGCAGTATCCTCGTAGTGTGAAACTAAGTGGTAACTTGTTCAGCTTGCGTGTATATCGCGCTCTGTACTTACAGTACATAGTTTTGTTATGCGAGACCCTAGGGCCTCCGTGGACTTGGATAAAACAACTAAACACTGGTAATTTGGTCGCAGGTTCTCGCCTGACCGCGTGGAGTTTTCCGGAATTTCTTCACGTGTCTAACACCTAAATAGGGAGGCGTTTCTATGGGAGAAACTGATCCCTATTTAGGTCTTAGACACGTGAAAAAATAAGTGTGAATCCCGTAAGGTTCCCCTTTCTGGAAGATCGTACAGTACGTGTGTTGCCATATTCCATTAGTCCACTTCAGTCCAGTCCCTAGGGCCTCATCGCGCGACCTAAAATCGTCATTATTATTTAAACTTTGAGGAAATGTTATTTAAAAGCATTTAAGGCTAACTACAGATACACAATTCAACAATACAATTATTTTTATTTGTTTGTTGCATTCATATATATATACACACACTGTATTTTAAACAATTGATAGTAGGCCTAGTAGCTTACCTATTTATAGAGATTAAACGACATTTAATTTTAGGTAGAAGTAAAAAGTACTTGGTCACAAGATATTATTATTTTCACAAGGTCATTAACGATCACGAGTGTTGCTCAGATACCGTAAATGTGTATGGAATTTTCCTGTAATTCTATCATTCGAAATTTTTCTTAAAGATTTAATTCATTTATTTAAAAAAATTTTTAATAATATTTAAAGGTACTCTTAGATAACGCTTGCAAGAGCTACTTTATGCACAGCAGCTTTGAATTATAGACGTATACACTGAGCTTAATTGCAATTCTAAAAATTAATACTTTCATGCACACAGTGTTTCACGTTAGGATTACATCTTATGGTTGCATTACAGGGTCTGTTAGAAGGCTTCAATGCCATTACAAATGTTTTATATTTAATTAAATAAGCTCTCGACGATTTTTCCTGTTTAATAGGGAAAATAGAAGCTTCAATTTTAATTAAAAGACCCGTAATAATTCTTTCGTGCTAATATTATAATAGACTACGTACAGTACTTCACTATTCTATAAGGCATAAAAGACATTTGCCTAGAGCCCAAATGAATTCTATTTGATTTGTTGCCCTCACTTTTATATAGTCTGGCAGCCCGTGGACACAGCACGGATCCTCTCTAACCACATTTCCTCTACACCCCATAGCGAAAGTCTTTGCAAAAAGCAAAGAAATTCAATTTTAAAAAGGGACTCTCGGGCCCCATTGCTGCAGAGTTTCACACATCACACGTATTATAAGCTCTTGTCTCAAGATTTAAATTACATTTAAAAATAGTAATTTACCAGTAGTATTTATTACGTATACCTTCTAAAGTATGTCTGGTTCAATTGTCTATTCTCTAAATTACGACCCACGGCTATACAGCTACACCTGAAATTTATCTAAAATGTAGGCTAAATCTATCTGTCTCTTGAGTATTAGTCAATTCATTGACCGTCTGAGGGTCCAATGTTACCCTTATTTCGCCAGAATTTTTTGGTACTTGGATGAGTGTGTTCCATTCTGAGGATCTCTCCTCATAAATGCCAGCTTTTAAGAAAGCCCTCTGTTAATTTTCTCAATTTATTTAAATAATTCGGGATACGATGCCGTTTCACGTTTACTATTCTATCAGTATCGACAATTGGCTTAGGCTACGTAAAAACTTAGGAGTGCCCGTGAGCTCCTCAACGCTCAATGCAAGTTCTGAATATTTTTCTTTATTAGTGATTCTTTCACGATTGGAATCATCCATCCAATCATTTCTAATTTACTGAGTAAATTCACTCCGTAATGTACCTATTGTACAACGCCTAGGAAGCTTTCTAGGTCTTGTCCTTTTAAGAGTGAAACATGACCATTTATTTCCCGAATCCTAATCCTTCTTCACTAAGGTTGGTGGTCACGGGACCGAAAATTCAATTTATTTAATCAGTTCATAAAGTTCTACATCAAGAATGAATCTTTCAGCACTAGAATCATAACACCATATTATTTTGCCCTTTATTACCGGAACGCCCTTTACAGAGAAACGTATCAATTTTCAGTCAGACACAAGGAACAAAATGCTGGTTCCATTCTGTTCCTCGACCACTTTAAATCAGGATTTCAAATTTGGGCATCTTGCAAGATGGCTCCAGTCGTTACAAACGAAACACAGCTTATTATTCGGCCGTTCTAGTCCAGTGCCATTCGAATGTTCTCAGTTAAATTGACGATTGATTCGTACAATGAATTCACCGTAGTTTCTAAGCGGGACAACCCATTGTTTTCATCAATTTCGGCATCTCACTTTTTCAAATATCAACGGCTTCATTTAATGTCTTTGGTCCATTCCGGTAATTAGGGATGTAATCCTTTAATGAACGAGGAAAGTCAAATAGAAAAGACGTAGTTAGATTCGAGCTATATCGAGACATTGTTCGCATAAAGCTGAAAAACAAAAGTGTCGGGCTGAAGCTCTGCCGAAGTTTGGTCTCATACCTGGCTCCCGATTCAATGTTAATTACAAAAACATTCTATGGGCTTTTAATTCTACGGGCTGGTTTTGAAGCCACCTTTAGTTACCGTACTCCCCACACACACTTCCTAGCCTCTTCGTTTTCATTACATCTAAGACCTATATATTCTCCACCTCCCGTGTTTATTACTCCTCTAGGCAATAAACCAGCAAGACAAGAGAAAGAAATCAGTACATTCTAGAAACTTGTACAAAGTACTTTATGTATATCCGAATACGAAAGAGCCAAGGAGGCCTTTTGCCATTGTTTTGAGGTCCCGATTATAGTANGTATACCAAATTTATGAAGAAAAAACGCAAGGCCTAGATATCTCCTTTTTCAAAGACATTCAACTTCTAGAATATCATAGAATATTTATTGCATAAATCAGTACATTCTAGAAACTTGTACAAAGTACTTTATGTTTATCCGAATACGAAAGAGCCAAGGAGGCCTTTTGCCATTGTTTTGAGGTCCCGATTATAGTAACATCGGTACAAACAGAGATATCCAGAGAAGGCAAAAAGAAGCAAACTGCCCTAGTCCACGAGGAAATAGGGACCATCGATAGGTGTTCTTTTTTCATTTACTTCCTTCATTTTAATAATTTAATTTCCCCAATATGTATTTTGTCCCGGGCTCCCGTTATCCTCTGGGAGGTCCTAGTATAAGTGGTATCTATCCGTTTGATATTATTTTACAGCAACAGTTATCCATTTGAGTGGTACAAAACCAGTGGCATTGGTACAAGTGATCCCATTCGGATGGTATCAATATAGTACAAGGACTTCCTTTTCGAGTGAACAACATCGGCAGAAGTGGTTTCCACGTGTAGATAAATTGCCCCCAAACAAACGTATCCATAATTCACTATAACATTCTATTTACAGTTCGATTCACACGATAATAAATCTCGCGTGACATCATTTACTAAATTACATACCGTAACAATACATTCCTTTTTTACAATCTATGGACAAAGAGAAGTTTGAAGTCACTAGACTACCTCATTATCAACTCAGATTGAAGCTGTATAGGTAAATTATGAGCATATTTAATTACTGCACTTAATTTTTTCACTTCTATAATTAAATATGCCAACTACTTCCTGCTCCTGACCTCGAAAAAACGGAAATATTTGCAATTTATTACATACGTTATCATCATCATCATGGATTTTTATATTGAAAACACGAGTTTTTACAAGAAGACACCATTAAAAAGTATCGAAAGATAAAGAAAAATAATAAATATTTTATTATTATTAAATATTATACGTCACAAAGATGATAAAATAATAATATTTACCAATTTATCACAGAAATCTTCTTTATCATCTCCTGTTCTTTGAGTTATGTTTTGATAGAGATTTCGATAACAGAACTTACGTAAATCATAACACGAGTGACAATAAAATGATAATTAAAGACCTGAATGATAAACAAAGGATGAAAATAAGAAAACACGAGGTTTAAAGTGAGTTTATATTTCCTGTTTTCCAACCTTACAAAACTGGTTTTCTTTAAATGCACGTTTCGCAATTGTAGATTCGAAATAACTTTGTTAAGGAGTAGAAAAAAAATACTAATCAAGGACAAATGTTTTAAAGTATTAACGAACGGTTATTGTATATTGCATTATAGTATAAATATTCAAAATAACGAAAACAATGAGTTAATAAATTCTTATCCCATGCTGTAGTATGGATGACTGCCCTCAATTCTTGTAGTAACAGTTGAGCATCATAAGATTGTTGAAGATGCTACTGCAATAAAATGAGCAATGAATTGTTTATAGTATAATGCAATATACTATAAGTATATAAAGAAATTGTTATTTCTATAGAATGATCAATGAGCTACTGATACTGCTATAAAAAAAATATCACCATCATGTTGTTATGCAATTATTATTCTTCATCATATTTCCATCTCCATAATAAAATACAAATTTATGTAATAATTTATAAATAATTAGGATATTATTTGCTCAATTATATTATGTAGAATAAATTGTAGGATTGTTTTGAGTTGGTTAATAGGAATTTCATGATCAGTTTTTGAACAATAAGAAATTCAAAAACAATTTAACAGACAGGGCCCTAAGATACAACATATAAGGCCTTCCTCCGCTAAATAATAATAAATGTAAAGGTGTGGGACTTTAGCTTGTTTCCTCATTTCTATTTTGTAATAATTCTCATAGACAAGACATACAATAGGCAACATTCTAAAGCCAAATGTCTATTTGTATGCATAGAATATTAATTTAATTTTATCTGATTTTATTGAGAAATTACTTCCTGATTTTTTTACTTTATCTTGCCATTAAATGTTTTATATTACTTTTCCGAGAAATCCAGTTTTATTAAATATTTTATAATAATTTTGAAGTTGACCAAGGCCTCAAAATTTCATTTATTTATAATAATTGATGTTCCTAATATTATCCCAATAAACATAATTATAATTATTATTATTTACTTTTAATTATTTCCCCTACAGGTACTAACTAATAAGGCATCTTCTATGCCCATTGTGTGTTTGGTGGGCCCACAGTCAAGTGACATATTGGTGAGGAATGGGACCCAACATATTAGGATCAATCCATCCTCTAAAACAGTGGTTCTCAACCGGGGGTACATGTACCCCTACGGGTACGAGCGTAAATCGAAGGGGTACATCTAACTTTCATTATAAAATGGCTTATGTTCATCAATTTGCTGTAAATTATTAACACAAGAAACAAGAAACAACAAAAACTTGCTTTAAAATATCCCAGTGTGAACACCATTTCCCTTTTAACAGTCTAAACAACTTGTTCATCCACTTGATTTGCCTGTCTATTTGTGCCATTAGTGCCGAGTGAACCTGTACTCTAGTAAAATTACGGTTTAACCGAGCATTAATTTTAGAATAGAAAAAATTTTTTTTTATTCTATAATTATTGTTCGATAAGATTGGGGCTTTTCGTGTTTTTACTGGACTACTGGTATTAGAAATAATGAGGCTTGGATCGTACCCCAACCATGCAATGCGTGTCACTGCATGCGCGCATTACTTGATATTTAGCAAATTTAGACGTTACATTTGTTACAAAAATTGAAAGATTTGTGTATTGTTCTGCAGGTTATAAATTCGCAACCATTACTTTCAAGGTCAGTACACAATTATAATCTCTATTTAACAACGTGGGAACCAAATTTTGAAAAAATTGCTGAAGATTTATTGCGACAAATATCCCATTAAATTTTGTTATAAATTATGGTATTGTAGAATAATTTAAATTTTCTTTATCGTTAATTATAATTATTTATTTTTAGGAATTATAATTTATGCGTGTATTAAAATGACTTCCGTGACTTTATGTAAAATACTTGTCCCTGATTAAATTTATTATTATTAAAGTAAAATAAGTAATTCACTTTTAGTTATAGTTAGTTAGTTAGAGTTTTCTTATGGCGCTCAGTTATAAGGTCTGTATACATTTAATGCAGTAATTATAAAATTTACATACAAAAATATAAGGGGTACTTAAGAAACAACTAATGGGCTAATGGGGTACATCAACAAAAAATGTTGAGAATCACTGCTCTAAAATATCGAAGTCAATCTGGACTCGAACCCAGATTCCACAGCTTCATGATAGCTTGACTATCAGTACTTTGTTTAGTATCTTCCAGATAGTCCTACCTACAACTAGGTAGATGGGCCATCTTGAAGGTCCGTCAAAACTACCTGCCTAGTAGGCAGGTAGTTTTGACAGTGCCTAATAGCAGGTAGAGTCTATGAGGTTGAGAGAAGTCCTGGTTTTAGCATGTAGGGACCTAATGACCCTTACATGATAGGTTTTGGCAGTAAGTACATTCAATTATTATTTACAGAGGCCCTCATAGACTCATACTAATTTACTCGGTAACAGATTTAAAACTATGCCAACTTATTTGCACAATGAATTGTTCTTGTTTTGTGTAACTTTCGATGTAAACATCAGAAAAAAAACTAGCTGTTTGTCTGCAAATTTTCAACATAAATTCTTAAAAATCAATTTATGGTAAACTGATAAACTGCATTTGTCTAAATGAATAAAACTAACATAGTTTAAAATTCAAAAACTAAAAGTCAACTTCTTAAATCAATTTTATGATTCATTACAAGTCATATGTGGAGACAAACATGAAGACAGTAGCCTAAAGGAAGTATAAATGAAGTATTTATAACAACCTTTATAGCAATTTTTAAGAATACAAAGCCTTATTTTTTCTAGAAATGAATTTGGGTTGTGTGACAGAGCAAGAATCTTTCAACTTTATTTGACCTACAATAGGAATTTAGTAAAGTCAAGCTAATCCTCACTCATCCTCTCTCACAGAGTGAGAGGATATGAGCACGAGAGAGCTCTCTGAGAATAAGCAGAACTTTACTAAATGGTAACTCATCTTTATAGTTGAGTAAATTGATTCTCTATTATCCTGAAGTTTCTCTTGTGTACCAAAGATAAAATTTTTCTTAAATTATTAAATTAAAATTATGAACTTACAAAAATGAATTTATTCGTTATTTTGATCATTTTCTTTTAGTCTAAAGTAACCTTTCTTGAAAAATGGTTTTCCATGTAGAGTCTGTACTTGTATTAATCAAATCAACCATCATTAGCAACATCGGTACATGTTTCAGAGTTATTTGCATTATGTCGCACTTTTTCAACCATAAAACAATCATTGCATGCTGGAAATTTTTCACGGCAAATTTCACAGTATTGTATTCTTTTATTCCACAAAAAAGTAAATTGAACTTTTCCATTTGTATGTTAAATTCATGCTTCTGTACAGTTTGAGATCAATAACTTTCTCCTGACTCCTTCTAGAACCACCAGATGACCAAGAATCTAAGGTGACGAATGCTCTGGAAGACCCAGGATTAAATTATGGCGAGCAACTCCCGGAAATTTTTGCAGATTGTCTGTCTTGGATACATTGGACTCTGTTCCTTGCCACTTGGTTGCACTCATTGTGTGCCTAGCTAATCCATGCTGAGTATGAAAAATGGACTCTTAGGATGCGACTATGAAGACGCTAGTGAGCAAGAATATGTGGCGAGAAGAGACGAGACGCGATAAATATCGAAACCTGTCAGATATGTGCGAGAACCAGGAATTTGCTCTAGCCAGCATTATTTCTCGCTTGTGCATGGTTTTCCTTTGCGAAAACTAAATCGCGCGCAACCTCTCGCTCGCTCTAAATTTGCGTCTGCATAGTCGCACCCTTAGTGTCCATTTCACTGTTAACCTTCCCTCTTTATCTGGACTTAGGGCCAACCGCAGCTTTAGTTTAAGCTCTAAACATAGTTGATGACGTCATCTGTTATCTTGCATAGTTTCCAGCTGGTTCATATTGTTTAGATTAGCAATCGGGCAAGAACAAATGTGTTCAGCAGGGACTATATTGCTTTAATATTTAAAATAACTAATATTGTGCAGTGTATTAATGAGGCTGAGAAAAGAAAATCAGTATCTTAAGTTGGGGTTCTAGTTACCTATATCTTCACTTTCAATTTTAAATTTAGCTTGCACAACTTTTTATAACACTTTCTATCATTATTATAATTTTAATAACCATTTCAAAAATATTGTTATATAAAATATATTTTAATTTATGCTTGAAATCAGCTTTATTATTTCACTTTTAATAATGTGTTTGTTTGTTTTTATAATCAATAAATAGACACAGACAGTAGGTATGCAGTGACAAACCTAAGAAATATAATGTGAATAGAAAAATCAATTAAAAAATTGGCATTGTAAATGAATTTAAATGTGAAAAATTGCATGAGAGTTTATTAAATTCTGTTTACGCGATTACCTAAACTCAAAAGTGAATTATAGTAAAGATGCTAGAGATATTGACTTCTGTAGAATAAAGTAGGTTTTACAAGTTGCATTTGAAAAGTTCCAAATTATATTTAACACTTGCTGAACATTTTTTTTTATGTGATGTATGAAAAATCTTGGAAGAAGAGTAACACAAAAAACTTGATGCATTAAGTTTTTAGTGTATTTGGTTGGTAAGTATTCATATACGGTAATGTGACATCCAGGCAATCTACCAATGGAAAATGACTCTCACAAAGTCTTTTATGGAAAATTGGTCCTTATTTATGTGTTACTAATGTGAAGAAAACTCCATATGGCTAGTATGTTAGCTGTGTTCAGTAATTTTATCCAATCAGCCACTGGTGGAGGCTTTTAGTGTGTTCCTCTTCTTTCCAACACTTAAATTAAATCTAAAAATTAAATTAATCTAAATAAAATATTTTAAAACTATATTTATGATTTGTTTATTATTTTAAATTCATTATTGATTTTAATTTTTTGAATTTCATATATATATTTTGTTCTATATTCAAAGGTGTATTTGTAAAGCCCTAGGCAAAATTTGTTTCTGAGGCCCATTAAACAAGCTATGAAGATAAGAGAGCCTAAATAAATCTAAACATGTTCAATATAGAAACTGAGAGTAAAACTAATTATTTTCAATAATTACCAATTTGATGATTTAAATACTGAAGTATACCAAATTTATGAAGAAAAAACGCAAGGCCTAGATATCTCCTTTTTCAAAGACATTCAACTTCTAGAATATCATAGAATATTTATTGCATAAACATATGCAATAAATAAAATATTATATAAAATATATTTT